ATCAAGCATCTCAATGTATTTTTTTTTTGTTAGATTGAAACTGAAAACATATAGTGATATTTATTAAAACTATATAGTTTTGAGTTTTAAAACTTTTAATCTTTTAAGAGGTAAGACCAACAAATTTTTATTTTTCTTCAATTACATAAATATTATATTCCTTTTTCAAAATTCAAGGAAAAAAAAATTATGCATCTCAATGATAGAATATACCCATTTTTAATAGAAAAATGTTGTAGTGGAAACAGACTGCACTTTACTTTCTATTCTCAGTATCATCATGCTTCAATTTTATCTCAAGCCCTGTTTCTTTCTTCTGAGGTTTTTTTCTTTTTCATTTCTTTCCTTTCGAATTTGTAAGAAAAAAGATGGTTAACAAAAAGAAAATTTGTTGGGCTGAGTAATGAGTCAGGAGTTGGGCCACACAGAGCTCCTTCTGCTTAGGAATGCTCAGGCCACGAGGTCCACCAAGCATTTCTTCTCAGGCTTTTAGAGTCATTGAAGCGGCTGCAGAAGCCAAAGCCCAACTGAGTTGCCGACGAACCTCCGACCTTGAATGTTAGAGCCGGACCCAGCTGTAACTCCGAATGGATCAATCTAACACCCCACAACCGGGGCAATTACTGTGGATAGAAAAGCCCATTATAAGGACATACTAACGCATCTATTTGGACGATGTGGGACTCTGACCAAAACTGAAAACGACGTCATTTCGAAAAAAAGCGCCACTGCGTTCTTAAAAATTAAAATCTCCATTTTAGGGTTATCAAAGTCCGTTTTTGATCCTTTTAAATAATATTTCCATTTTACTCCTTAACTTTTATTTTTAGTACTTTTTTAGCCATTCCATTTATCTTTTTTTTTTTTCTCATTATTTTCTATTCAAATTATTAATGTGGATATTTCAAGGTGTAAAAAATATTGAAGTAGGCATATAAATTTGGCCCTTAATTCATTCTCCACTCAAGACAAAAATTGAAGATGTGGGTCCATCTTTTATGAAAATTTAAAATGTTAATGTGGTAAATTTTTTATTAGAAAATTATTTTCTTAATTAAAAAAGTTACATGTTACCATTCACATGGATAGTTGAGTGGAACAATTTTAACATTCATTGTTTATTTAAATTATGAGTAATGAGACATGATAATCTTTTATATAAATTTTTTATATAAATTTTACATATTATTAAATAAATATATATTTAATATTATAAATTTTAGTAGAGTGAAAAAATCAATTTTAAAGATATGAACATGCATTTAACTTAATCATTATAAATATCTTCTTTATTACAAAAGTAAAAACTAAGTCAAACTTAGGAAATTATATTAAAATATAATTTTTTATAATTATTTGTTTTTGTTTGGTTGTAGGTTTGTAAGTGCTTAGAGTGCTTAATCTCAAATCACCTTTCTCGGAGATTAAAGAAAACAAAAACATAATTATATTAAATTAAATTGTGTCCCTATTACTAAATTGAAGCCAAAAAGAAAAAAAGAAAATCAAGCATATCAATGTGTTGTTTGTTTAGACTGACATTGAAAGCATATCACAGTATTTACTAAAAATAAAGAATTTTTAGTTTTAAATTTTCTAAAATTTAAAGAGGTAGGAATAATATATTTTTTCTTTAATTATATGTGAAATAATATTCCAATTAAAAAATTTATGAAAACAAATTAAGCATTTGAATGACAGAATTTAGGCATCTAAATATCATCATTCTCCAATTTTATTCTTATGAATTTTTTTTACCTTTCTAATTTATAAAAGAAAAAGAAAAAAAAACTCGTTGAGCTAAAATGGGATTTAAATTTTATAACAAGGAAAAACAATTTGTTGGACTGAGAGGAAAGTTAGGAGTTGGGCCACACAAAGCTCCCTGTGTATATTGAAGGCTGGGCCACGAGATCCTCCAAGTATCTACCTACGAGCTTTTATTGTCAATTTGTGGCTACAGAGCCAAGCCCAACATTGCTCC